ATCTAATAAAAAATATGTTTATCTAATTTGACCAAATATTTGTTTTGAGACTTGAGGATTCAGCCTTATTAATGATGCACTTTTTCAAATATTTTCATGAACATTTCACTAGAAGGAGATGTCTCTTCTATATCAGTCCCCAAATCTATTGCACCACCTCAATGTCACTTGCATTTCTCTCTCTTGCAGATTTACATCGAATATAATTAATAAACTACTCTTATTGGGAAAACTAAAAAAATCTAAAAAAAAAGTTTATTTGAATATGTTATCCTGGCCTGGGCAAGACTCTCTGCTGGCCTGTCATTAGTTGTTGTTGAAATGTATGTTTTCACTTTTACTGTTGTGTATATTAGTTAAAAGTAGTAATTAGTGCTGCTAAAGCGTGGGAAAAAATAAGAGAAAAGACAATAAGGAGAAATGTATTGATACAATTACTTAGTTCAAAGCTCGAAAGGAAACATAGTGCTAAATTTTGATAGATATGCATGAACAGGAGTAAAGAATAAGTCTGTTTCCCCCCAGGCCTAAAACTGGTGGTGGAGTGGAGATAGATAAAGTTGGTCAGTCTGTAGACTGCTGGTTAGCGAGACTGTATGCTGAGCTTTATGGGGAGATCCAGTGGACTGCGTGAGCTGATACTAGAGCTTCACTCAGGGACTTGGAAGATGGAAGTACAGTTGGATAACACAGGTTGAGAGAACCTGTCCATGATGAGCAAGCATGGAGCAACAGTGGAGAGGAAAAACTCCCCCTTTGGAAGAAACCTCTGGCAGAACCAGGCACATCATGGCGGTCTTCTGCCGGACCGTTAAGATGAAACAGGGAATGTGGTAATAGTCCGGAAGGAATGAGACTCTGATGAAGCTTTAGCTACGATGGTGGAGGAGGGGCTGGAGGTGGGTTGAAACGGTGTCATCTGAATGAAGTCACACAGTAAATCCACAGCCTGCGCACAGGAGTAGACAGTGCGGATTGGAGGCCTTTTAAGATGAACTTTGGATGCTGATTGGCTTTCATGGAGGTGTGGTTCAAACCTGACTGGCTGTGTCGCAGGTGGATGTAGGAAAACAATGAGTTTCTTCAGTTGAACTTCCACCTAGGCTCCATTTTACTGCAGCTACTTAAAGATCCCATCCATTTATTAAAGGTTTAGCTAACTGTTTTATTTTTGAAATGCTTTTTAATAGAACAAAGTTTAACTATCAGGCAGCTGAACAGATCAATTGTGTGCACACCCCCTGAGTATGAAATCCTGGACAACTTGTTTTTAAACTATGCCTTAAGTTCTGGCATGTACCCACAGAAATAAGCTGGCAATCTCTCCTATTGGCTAAATGAGGGTTACACCCTGGACAGAGCACCAGTGTATCACAGGGCAACAGAGAGTCATAACCTATTTAACAAATGTTACTTTTTCTTTGGGAGGTGCTTGATATGCTGTTTGTCCCGAGACTTCACTCCAACCATAAAACAATTTGAACCAAATCTAATTTATGGTGCATTTACTCTATTGTTTTAAAATAAAGACAGATGAGTGTATCAAGATTGTGTAATTATCTGAAAAGTTACCAGTTATCTTTAAAGTGGCAAAACAAAAATAAAAGTATGTTTAAATAACAAGTATGTAATGCCTGCAAAATTTTTTTCTTTTACTTAAATTTTTCTTCTTTGGTAGAACAAATCCTTCCTAGATAAATTAAGTATTGCTTAAAATGGTGCCAGTTCCTCTGAGCTTTTTCTAACATAGCCAATTAGATATCTACCTCACTAAACTAAATGATATCTTGTTTTTTTTTCATTTAAAAAAATAATGTTAAGGTGTTTTATTTATTCATCTTTTTTATTCTTCTAGATCCAGTTTGGCTTTGTGAAGTCACAAAGTGTTCTGAGCATGTTTCTGTAATCGGATTATTTATGTGCAAGTGAATCTCTTTGATAAATGAAAGAAATTTTCCCAATGACAGTTTTTAAAAATATTTTTTTTACAATAGTAAAATGGATTTACATACAAATGGACAATTGCAATATTGCATGATGACACTATGTATAGCATTGCTTTCTTGCAGAAAGAAGGTTTTGTGATTGATTTCCAGCCCAAGGTCTTTCTGCATGCAGTTTGCATGTTCTCCCCGTGCATGCGTAGGTTCTCTCCTGGTACTCCAACTTATTTTAACTGTTATGTTAACTGGCTTCTCCACATTGTCCCATTGTGTTTGTGCGGCTCTGTGTTGCCCTGCGAGCGACTGGCGACCTGTCCAGGATGTACCCTGCCTCTCGCCCATAGACTGCCAGAGATAGACCCACCAAGACCCTGATGGAATAAGCTGGAGAAGATGGACGCATAATTCGAATCAAACACATAGTTATTGTGTGCATTCTATTTCTTCATTCCACTCAATATAAACTTTAAATTTTAACATTAAGTCTAAAATGCTTAAGAATATATTTTAGATTAGTTCTTTATTTGAGAAAATTCAACTTTAAAGTGCCTTTCACAAGTTTTAAACTTCTTAAGGTTTGCTAAAACAGCCATAAAACTAGAAAGAAAAAAAACATATTATGAAGGTTTTGAGTGATAGATCAGCACAAAGTAGGAAGTGGAGGAAAAATGTGACATAAATTCCTGTTCAGTGTTACTGGTCCTCTTTTCTGCAAATCCAGGAGCTACACCTGGATCAAAAAGCTGTTGGTTGCCTGAGTGTTTATCAGTATTTATTGGGGCCAAATGGGAAATGATTCACTCATTCCACATCATCAAACAGGAGCAACTTTCATCTGCTGCTCATCAGTTTCAACTCAACGTGGCAGACCTGGATTTTAGCAAGCAAGTAACAGTGCTCTATCCATTATGGAAAGCTGAACAACAGCATAGGTGTCCTGGGGTTTACCAGATTTCCCCAGGAGCTATTGCTGGATCACTAGCCACAGCACTATCGTCTGATAAGGACCCAAAACTGCTATGTCGCTTCAGGGGGAAGATCACCGGGACAACAGCAGTAAAGAGAGATGGCCTTCAGGAGCTCAGACACTGACCAGGCAGAAAAGTGTTTTGGGAGGACAGTGGGAAATCAGAGCAATAGGTTGAGCAAAAATTGGGCAGAGATCCGAGACCAACTATAGAGCTATAAGACGAGGACAATGATAAAACATGTAATAGTCCTTTTGAAAAAAGAAACCAAAATACAGCCACATTCAAACTGATACATATTTTTTTGAAGGATATGTTGTATCTTCATTCAAGATTTGTCTCCACTGAGCTACTTCACCGTATGTCAGAGCCGTATTTATTCTTTTACTGATTGTGGGACTAAAGCCGAGAGACGTTCGTTTGGGGGTTTGTCTCTTGCTTCACTTTACTTGTCCTACTGTATTTGCTAGCAACGTTTTCTTTGGATCACTTTGCATCACTCAGCTCCTGAATAAAGCATTAACATACTTAGGGACTCAGAGGGATAACATGTTTTTTTTTCTTTTTCCTCATCTAGACTGACATTTTGGGGTTAATTTGGCTTTGCAACCTACAGTACCTAAAATGACTCTAATTGGATGGATTTCCAGAGTTTGACTGGACCTTTCTAACACAGAAATATTTTTTGATCCTAAGCTATTTTAGCTCCCAGTGTATGTTCTGAACCCTTGTCCTACTTAAAGGTGAGCTGTCCTTTTAAAGAAACATTTTCAGAACCATTATGCTGCCAGCAACGCTTCTTCCAGTGAATGTCAATATTAGTTTATATTGTGATGAACTGGCTACATTTCACAAAGGTATTTTCTGTTTAGTGAGGTTAAAAGCTTGATTTACACTTGACGCACAAAAAAGAGCAAGTACCTGTGCATCATCAGTGACAAAATGGTGTTGTACTTCCATGCTGTTGTGTCACCTGGTCATGCACCCCTGAATTTTAGTAAAATTCTGTGGGACCACCTTTGCACCATTCCTTTTATTATGACTGACATGCAGGCATTAAATATACCTTTTTTAATATATATTTTTCTTTAAGAATTGAAGAGAGAAAGTAACAGTAAACAAAACAAAAAAGGTTAAAATGTAAAATTGAATTACAAAGATAGACACATAGATTTGTTTTAAATTGCATCTATATAGAGTTTAATATCCTTTAGAAAGAGGTTACAGGCAATTTCCCTTTCATAATGTTTACCTTATGCATCTAAATCTCGGAAAGAAAGAGACTTGAGTTGAGTTGGATTTTTTTTTCATTAGGATATATAGCCTATTTTAGTATGTGAAGTGTTTCTTTTCTCATTTCCACTGGTTATGTGGTGTACTGTCTTTTGTGTTTTCTGTGTTTCGGTGAATACCGTAAAAACCATCAGCATAAAGTATAAAAGCCTACATCCATTTTCAGGCAAGTGATCTAAGCGAAACTCCTAAGAGTGACAACATCTCAGGTGTGAAGAAATGTCAGTGAATTTTATGAAATTGTAAATTTTCTTTTCAATCTTTTTCTATTCAATTCAAACATACACCTTATTTTGGTTACTGTAAGTATATAATCTATAGAGGTTTTAGATGAAAAAATGACAGGCACTAGGAGTGAAAGACAAACCCTATGCACCGCTCTCTGCAGAACATGATTGTAAATGGCAATCCTGAGAAGAATTACTGGAAGGTGACATTGACCCTGACACCACAGACGCGCTGCAATGAAGGAACCCTGCTGGTTTTATTTTCAGCAATATACATTTTTCTACCTGCTGGGGTGGCTTTGAGTCACCAGAACTGCACTGTCAGTGTTCAAAGTGCCTTAAATCTCAGAGGGAATACTCGAGTGACACAGTCCGCTGTTGCATGGAAATAAATGGCACTGGGGCTGGAGTAGGGAGCAGAGCACATTTCCTACATACCTCCCCCCTGTTCCCTCTACTCGCTGCCTTCCCCCTCCCACTTGGGGCTTGCCAGCGCTAAAAGCATGTTCTTCTCTCTCGCCTCTCTACCTTTGACATACTCTCTCACTTCTCTCTGCTACTCCCTCAGTCAAAGACAGGAGTCTCAAAGCAGCTGATGCTTCCCGTAATCCTCGCTAAGCATCATTTCATTGATGCTTTCTCTCTTTCTCTGCGTGTCTTTCAGCACTTTTCCATGGAACTGGATTTCACGGCTGCTGAGGTGACATCAGGTATCTGAATGCTACAGAGGCACAAGGAAAGAGCAATTGGAAGATAACTTTCCACGCTGCAATCCTTTATGTCCTCAGAGGAAGAGTGTTTGGTTTGTAATGCATGCCCCTTAAGGATATTTTTCCCTCATCACAACTGCTGGAGAAAGATTTTCCCCCATTTTTTGACCACAACAATTCATTTGTAAGTTCAATTTTCTGTAGAATCTATGGGGACTTTTTCGGCGTAATATTCCTGCCGTACCTGGAAAGTTTGGGACAAGACATGTCTGATGGAACCAAAGCTGTCTAATGAAGCAGTTTTTCTAAGACTGTCCAGGTATGAGTGTTTCATTTCAGTTTTTTTAGTTTGCTGACTGGTTTGTCTTGTTCAATGTAACATCTGTATAAGCACGCATTAAGGGAATAAGATGTTTTTATAGGTAAGCAATTTAAAGAGATTTCCACCAAAAATGATTTCTTTCTGGTACGATCTAAATCAGAGGGAACTTCAGTGCTGAGAAAATGTTTGCTCCTCATCACATTTCTTACTGCTTTGCTTTTGTCATAACTAAATATTTAAGATCATAAAAATAGTGGAAAAATCAGCCAGAAATAACCTACTATCGAAAGAAAAATTTAAAGGGGAACAACAAATTCCAAATCAACATTTTCCTGTGTGAAAGGTGTTTTCTCTTATGGATAAATGATGAATGGACAACGATAAGAAACATCTGGGTTCAGTTTCATAAGCAGAGCTGATTAGGACCTAGCCAGAGGGACCAAATCTGTTCAACAGGAAGCTGTCTGACAACATAAGCTAAGAAAACAATCTGGAAAACCAACTCATTTTAGTTCATTTGAATTCATTAGATACAGGTCAGTTTTGTAGCCTTTGGTACTCTACGGGATCTCAGTATGCATGTTTCCTTTAACGATCAAACTGAGCAAATTGTTTTTGTGAAAATATATAATCTAAAGAAAAATACAGCACTTTCGAATATACTTTTGGTTTTTACGCTTTGATGAGGTGTTGTTTTGATCACAGGACTCATGTGATCTGCAGTTGGACCTTACTGCATTCTAAAAACACAAAGTAGAAGATCAGAAGTAGTTGGAGGATGTTGGCGCCCACTAGAGGCATGGCTGAAACATGTTTACATCTGATGTGTACGGTGGCCCTGAAGTGCAAACTGCAACTACAAATCTAAAAGCGCAACTACATTAAGGAAATCACAACTACATAAAGCAAAGCACAACTACTGTACATTATGAAAAACAAAACTACATAAAGCAAAGCACAACTACATTATGAAAAACAAAGCTAAATAAAGCAAAGCGCAACTACATTAAGGAAAACAAAACTACATAAAGCAAAGCACAACTACTGTACATTATGAAAAACAAAACTACATAAAGCAAAGCACAACTACATTATGAAAAACAAAGCTAAATAAAGCAAAGCG